TTTTTTTTCTTGCAATTTCGACATTTTCTCAGACCATCGCCATTATTCTTCTACTTGTAATGCCCATACGCCTTGGGAACCATCCGCGAATTTTTCTAGAATTTTCTCACGCAAGCCCACTGTTGTCAGAAATTCACTTTCCATTTCGATTTTTCTTTTTGTAAAAAGTGAGTGCTTCAAGGCTGAGGGCAATGTTTTTAAGAGCGCCCTCGAGGAGCACGCTTTTTGCGCTACCTCCAGTCGATTGAGCTTTCATTTTCTGGGTGGCCTAGGGAAGTGTGCTGGGAAAAGGGTATTCTGTTACAACTAACAAAATTGTCTCTACAGAGCGGCTATTAGCGTAATACAGGGCTTGGGTATAATAAACTAGTAACGGCGACGAGTTTTACAGGTCTCGGGCAGCGAAAAGCCCTATATAGGTGGGTACCTGAGATGTAATGGTAGAGCTTTGGTCAAATTGATACAGCCTTATTCGGCTAATGGCTCGGTCCCTGGCCTTCGTTAGAGCCTTGGACGTACAGTATGTAGGAGGTCTCTAGGACAAGTGGGTACTTTATCGGTACAGCATCGTGTGTGGACGTCAAGGGTATTCTGTAGGCTGTTTTGCCTTCTTTTCTCGAAAGGGATTTTTTTTTTTAGTTTTCTACTAGGAGTATCCAATATTGCTCTATGTCCTTCTCGTTGATCCGTACAATAGTGACGGACATCCAGTACTACTGTAAAATCTTCCATTTCCTGCTCACCCAACTCTGGAAGTTTTTGCAGAGTTTCCAGGATTTTTTTGGGATCACCTGACCATAGTGTGTTGGGGTTTTTTGTTTTATGTTCGATGATTTATTCTCCCAGTGGTCAGTTTGCTACGTTGCGAACTTTGTTTCCTGGCCCGTGATCCTACCCTACTCGAGTTGTAAACGTACTTTTGGTGGCACCCAATCTAGTTTTCTTCAGATCAACATTGAGGACAGTATTTAAAGCGCGTACTTTTTCCATTCAACGTCAGTAGTTTTGTACTAATCCAGTACGAAACTGGCTGCGAAAAAGGAAAGGAATTTCAAAGGGCCTCCCAATAATTGGATGTGGTCCTTTTCCAACCTGTCCTTTGCTAATTTTCCGTAATTATTTTCCTTTTGGAAAATATCACCGTTTATTTGAATTATCAAATTTCTCGAGGAACTTTTTTGTGGACCTGGTATTTGTCTCTTAGATTGCTAGTATAGTTTTTACCCTGATTTCGTTTTGTTCGACTGCTTCGCTCTCTCTGTGCTTATCTGACAACTTTGGTTTTCTGCTGCTATCAGTAAATGTTCATCTTAGCGTTTCACTCACCTCACATTCGGTCGCTCTTAGCTGTTCGGTTAGCGGACTGATTCACTAACACATACTATTGATGGTGAGTAGAGTTATTCCAAATGTATTAAGTCCAGTTATTTTGAAATCAACTAATTATTTATTACATGCCTTATTATTATTATTTCATGAGTAGNTGTTTTTTTCGACAGTTAAGTTGGGGCCCTCTCTGTACTTGCGCTTAATTTAAACGGGGAAATAGCGTTAAGTTTCTAGTGGCAAGTGTGTCGAATGTATCGTCTTTATAGGAAAGAAATACGCATTGGAAGGTCACCACGTGGATGAAAATGATTTCGAAGCCGTGAAATGGGCAGCCATTATGACTGGACAATCAACGGACTATGTAGGGACGAAGGAAAGAATCGAAGAAGGAGGAAAATTTAAGGTAATTACTGGATTTTTTTAAAGAAATTATCTGATTGGTTTCGGTACTGTCGTAACTATTGCTTCAGTACAAGGGATGATTTAAGAATTGAACTATGGTCGTTATTTGAACTACAGATAATGTGCACTTCCCATAGTTTAAATACGGATTTGTGCAAAAGGGGGCTTATCAGCTGCTTTGGGAACATTTTGCTGTAGATGATAGGTGTATTATTGAGTCCCTGTAGTGTTCCCGCTGTGTTTGGTGAGTAGGAGGGTTAGTTGTGCGTATTAGAGAGCTAGGATTAGGAGAGAGCTGCATCAAGTGCTGAAATTTGGGAATAACTGGCAGCTCTTCGGAAATTGCGGGGTATAAGGAGCGAGGGAGTAATGGGGATTGTAAATTACTGAAATTTTCTACGTCGAACTCATAGTGTTCGATTTTTTTCCAGAAGTGATAGTGTATGATAACGAATGATTGGGGATAGTAGTTGTTATGTAGCGTAAAGGGAAATGCTGGGATGTCTAAATTCAGGGTAACGATGGGTTCCTCTGATTACCTAGGTGATAAGTGGTTGTAAAGGATAGTAAAGCTTTGTACTCAAGGATAACAGGGAAAGGAGCAATAAAGAGTAGCTGTGAAGGAAAGTCGAGTATCAGAACTTTTCAGGAGTTACTAGATAAAGCATTGACCTTCGATAGCAAAGATTTTGCCTTATTACATTTACGTGGACGATATGCTCATTCAGTGGCCAGTCTCTCATGGATTGAACGAAAGGTATGTCATTTGTTTACCGAATTGTTTACTGAAACTTCAAAATCTTTATTTTTACTGTTTTTGTTGCATTAGTTTTTATTTTTGATTTGGACTTTATTTTTTACCAATTTTTTTCTTTAGGCAGCGGCAGTGTTTTACTCGACACCCCCTACAGCTACTATTGAAGAGGCTTTGGAAGACTTCTTAGCGGCTTATGAAATTAAACCTGATTGGATAGAAAATCTTCTATATATTGCACGTATATATTATGCGAAAGGGGATAAAGTGAATGTTTATTTGCCTTATTTTTTTGTTTATTTATTTACTTGTTGTGTTCGGAATAAATTTCTCCTTTCCAGGCAAATGCGAAGAAATTTCTCAGTAAATTACTCAGTCTGAAGCCTAATGATGAATCAGAACGTGAAATGCAAGAAGAAGCTAAAAAATTGCTGTCAAAATGTTAACACGGGTTCCTGTATGAATTCATTGTCTTGTAGCATAAAAATAAATATTCGTTTTATTAACCACTTGTTTAGGGTACATGAAAGATTCTGTGGCTGAAAGATAAAGGCAGGAAGTTGGTCGTATTCATTCTTTTTTTTTTGGAAAGTGAGGTACGGTGTGTGTCATTAGGTCAGGATACGAAATCTTCGAATTGTGTGCTGTTGACTCTGGTCGCAAAACTTCCTTGTGCAGGCTGCATCATTGCAATCGCGAAGAATAATCCAATGGGAATGAGACACTTCATGTTCTAAAGATAGCGCCGGCTTTGACCTTAACTGGACAGTTGACTTTTCTGAACGGCGAACGCAAGATCATGCAAGATCCCGTCGTGGTGTTCATCCGGGATCATGGACGCTCGATCGCTGACGTCGTGCACGGAAAAATCGTTCTTTTATTACACTACGCAGTGGTCTCCGTGGCATCCTCCTAGGAACACGAAGTTCATTGAAAGCTTTGTTCATTAATGCTCGTTCTATTCCTGCAGTTGAAGGGTTCTTTGTCAGTCAGTTAGGTGTGGAGAGGGTTCAATCTAGAGTCACTTCGTAACATTGAAGTTTTCGCTCGAAAGTGCGGTAGTGTAGTGGCAAGTGGCTCACTTCATATACACATTGTCACGGGTTCGAATCTCTGATCAACATCTGCCCATGCCAGCCAAGCCCCATCCCTACGGGGTCGGCAAATTGGTACCAGACTCGTCTAGGAGGATAAAAGCACTGAATTGTACATTGGCTGGCCAACGCAAATCATTGTATAGGTCACATGCGCATTCAATACGCCGCTACGATCTTGAGCGGAAGTCGAATGCAGGCGCGAATCTCTCAGAGGGGTTTGGCTAATGCCCCAAGACTATATCGCTTTATCATTTATTAGGTTTGGGAACCAACTAGAGATTGATGAATGCAATCTATATAGAAGCTATTTCAAGGAGTTGTTCTTATAAATATCTCTTTATATATAAAGGCTACGGTAATTTTGTGTATCTGTTTGTATGCCCGTTTGTGCGTCCTTCCAAAAGTCACGCAGGCACGATGAAGAGTGGGAATGTCATGTGAGCGCGGTGAGGTCAACTGATGCTGTTTATACTGGTACTCCAACAAAGTAGTCGGTAGTGCTCGTAGGTAAGCGATAATGGGCATGTGCTGCAAGCGTTACCGTTCACAGCCCATTTGGCTCCAAACATTTTAAAAGCTTACGAGTCTTCTCCTTAACACTTCTGTCGCTTCCAACTTAAATCAGTCGTCTGTGAGTGAAATCACCCAGGGCCCAGGGAAGTCTTTAAAGAATTCTCGGCAGAGGAAGGGACATGCAGTTCTGATAGGATAATCGCTAACACAAAATCTTAGAGTATTTATTAGACCCTAGTACATACTTAGAGAAGATATTACTTATTTACCCAAAAAATGCGACTTCTCGTCTTTTTGAACTTCCTAAAGTTCGTTTTTGATCTTAGTGGTACAGCCCTGAGCGAATCGTTATGTACGCATTTGAGAAGTTGCCACATTCGTCGTCTCAACTGAAAAGACCGATATCCAAGGTAAAATATACGAAAAAATTTCAAACGGTGTTGAAAAGAGAAATTTAATTTATATTCAGAACAGTCCTTATTGAGAAGTGACCTTGAGTGCCTTAGCTCACCAATCCGGAACGAGGTGGGTACAGGCGGGTGCTGTCGCATGCATGGCCTGTGGAATGAGTACCAGAGTGATATTCGCCCAGGACAACCAAGAACTGCATTTCCCTGGGGTCAGTCAGTTGGTACCGGACTTATCTGGGAGCATAAATGCTCTGACTTGTGCAATGGATGGCTAACGTAAGTCATTGTAGAGGTCTGAATGCCATTTTGAAAGGGAGTTGAATGTGGGGAGAGGGGGGGGGGGGGGGGGGGGGGGNGGGAGGTGGTGGAAACATCCCAAAATGGAATCTATCCGAGACGAAAGGTTTCATCCTTCGTCCCCTGACTCCACTGACATCCATACACTCCTATGAGTGTCCACTGACTAGTTGGTTCCAAAGCTTATCGATGCCCTCCTCCCCCCTAGCACTGCCTCCGTCGGCACGCCGGCCGGCCGGCCGGTGGACTATGAAAGCAGCCTTTGCAAATCAGCAGGGATGTATTAAGGTCGCCAAGGGCAAAGACTACACTTATGGAATTTCCCTAGTGATTGCCCTTTTAGGGAATTTCCAAACCTGTCTCTCCGCGTGGCTGTAATAGGGATCTTTGTTGATAAGGTATTTTGGTTACACTGTGAACTGAACTTACCCAGTTTTCAACTTGGCGCCCGAATATTCCCCTTGATCAAGAGAGGTGGGATGAAATGATGCTACAATTAGATTCTCAGTTAATAAATTTCTTCAATTAATTATTGTTTTTCCAGACATCTAGGTTACCTTTAGGTCACGGCGGTCGAGCGAAAACCTCAGGTCCCGTTTTTGTGCACTCTACCACAGAGGTAGGAGGAAAGGGTATGCACAGTAGTGCTCTCAACTATGCTACAAAAGAGTACTTACGGTGGCTTACTGTTGAGGAAATGGTTCTGAATGGAACAGTACCTAAGGATGACAGCTCCTCGATGCCAAAAAGGTCCGAAGGGTGCTTGAAACAGAGCTGGTTGGTAAGTCTCAGAAATCTTTGAAACTGGTAGCCTTTTTTTCAATCAGAATTTTAATTGGGAGAAATGGAACGAAAGGGCAGAGTCGCTTACTGAGCGAGCAAAAGCTGAGGAATACGAAGAAGAAGGCTAAAATTAGAGGAAGTAGTGCTCGTGGAAGGTGGGCTGAATTCTACTCCCAAACAGATTTCTTCAAATTTCAAAAAAGTTATGTATGTCATAGAGAAAAACGAACTTCAGTGTTGTAAACTATCATCACGCAAGAGTGCGCCATCACGGACATTGTCAAAACCGTTGATTTGATCGTGGAAATTATCAGCGGACTCCTAAATTGTCTACACGTAGGTCGAGTTTGACACGGAATTTAGGGTTCAGATCTTTTTATACAGTACATTATACGTCATTCTATATTCTTTACTCTTATGTTCTCAGTAAGGTTGTTACTCCTATATTCTTAATAATGAGATGAAGATCAACTGATTTGATTGATTAATTGAAATATGGTTCCTGAGAACTTCCTTCGGTTGAACCTGAGTCCCCCAGGGATAGCCTAAGGGATTGTGTCGGATCGAAAAACAGACCAGAAATGGCGTAGTAAAGGCTCAAAGCCGGCTTAGCTGTTGAACGGGTAACGGAACTTTTCCCCGATTGCGGCATTCTCCCTTACGGCATGCGGCATA